TCTCCTCCCCCCCCCCCATGTTAATACTTTGGTCCCAGTTGTGCCCTCCTACCCAGTTTGCCAATCCACCCTGATATTCCCCCTCCCATAAAGTTGTCAACCCTCCCTTGTGTCAACCCCTGCCTGGACTGCCCCCTTTGGAATTCCCCTATTCTTCCAAGCCCCATTGGCCCATGTGCCCCACTCTCCTCCCCTTGGTTTTTGTATTATGTAACCCCGCCTTGTGTTCTTCCCCTAAGTCTTCCCTATTGGTTTATTATTTGTACATTCCCCTTGCTCGTCCCCCATGTATAAGTTGCTGTACCCCTGTATCTTTTGTCTTTCTTTCCTGGAACCTTCAAGAGAATAAATCCCTTTTGGAAGCCACATGGAAGACCTCTCCCTCATCCTTGCTCCTGCCCTCGACACTGGATAGCCTGTGCCCTAGAGCATAAGCCCTAAGCTTGCCCTGCTTTCCAGGAGCAGCCCACTCTTGGCTCGGTGCCAGGAGCTGGCTGGGGAAAAAATCCAGCACCATGTCAATGCAAGATATGGGAGCACTGGAGCCTGGACTACCCAATCCAGCTATGCTCCCTCAAGATTGGGACACTGTGGTCATAGATCTCAAAGATCGTTTTTTCACTATTCCTCTTCATCTGGATGATCATGAAAAGTTATCTTTTTCTGTGCCTTCCATCAAGAGAGCAGAACCTGCCCAAAGGTATCATTGGGTTGTTTTACCACAACGAATGAAGAATTCACCCACCATTTGCCAATAGTATGTGGACTTGGCACTGTGACCATGCTGAAAAACTCATCCTGAGTGCATACTATACCATTATATGGATGACTTGCTTCTGTGCCAACAAACGATCATTTCTGATGATTTAATCAGTGAGTTAACAAAAGCATTGACAGTGATGGGATTAATTGTGGCCTCCGAAAAAGTACAAAGAACTGAGCCTTGGAAATATCTGGGAATGATGTTAGGCAGACAAATGGTTAGACCACAAAAGCTTTTGATATCAAAGGAAGTTAAAACACTGAACGATGTGCAGAAATTAGCTGCAGACAATCAATGGATTCGGCATATTTGTGGTATCACCAACAGTGATATGCAACTTCTGTTTCCATTATTGCAAGGAGGTCGTGATCCCCAGGAATCAAAGACCCTGACAAGTTCTGCTTTACAAGCTTTAGAAAAAATTTCACTAAAACTAAGTACTAGGACTGCAAATCGTATTGATCCTGATCAACCGTTACAACTTTTTGTGTATAATACTGAGTTAGAAGTTGCTGCCTTTTTAGGTCAATGGTGTAAATGGCAGTCTGATCCACTCAAAATCATTGAATGGCTATTTTTATCAGCCAGAGGACATGGAACAGTAACCCTTCATATGGAGGCTGTAGCAAGAGTCATTCAAAAGGGAGTACAACCAGCAGTTGGAATTGCTGGAAAAGAACCTGACAAAGTAATCATTCCATACCCTCTGGACTTGACTCAATGTTTGAATCCTCAATGACCTTTGCATTGGTCTGTTTAAATAGATCTTATCAGATTGATAATCACTACTCTAAAGATCCATTATTCAAAACTACTTTGACTATGGAATCAGTACCTGTCATTAGTCAACAACCACTACATGCTTTGACAGTGTTTACTGATGCAAGCAGTAAAACCAAGGCAGCTAGATTTGTTTGGCAAGAAGATGGAAAATGGCAGGCAGAATGTTTTTATTGCAATACATCAGTGCAAGTTCTAGAACTTAAGGCAGTAATTGCTGTGTTGAATCAATGGAATTCTCAAGATCTAAATATTGTGACTGATTCCCTTTATGTTGCTGGGGTGGGACAGAGTATAGAAGGGGCATTGCTGGGACGTGTAAATAATTCTGTACTTTTTCAAGGCTTCTTAGATTTAAGAAATCTTGTCAATCATTGAATACATTGACTTTTTATCATGCACTTGGAAAGTCATACTGGAGACCTTGTAGAAGGTAACACTCGAGCTGAGCAATTAGTGACTGTGGTGGTTGATTAAGATCAGACTTTTCAAGAGGCGTACCATTCACATGCCTTCTTTCATCAATCTGCTGCTGCTCTTTGTAAACAATTTGGAATTCCGAAAACACAAGCTTGAGCGGTGGTTGCAGCATGTCCTGAGTGTCCTATACTTACACCACTGAAAGATGGAAGAGCTAATCCTCGAGGACTCTAGCCCCGTGAGATTTGGCAAACTAATGTTACAGAATTTTCATCTTTTGGACCATTGCGTTATGTGCATGTGTCAGTGGATACTTGCTCAGCATTTGTGCGGGCTTCTGCCCATTCACCTGCTTCAGCTGCTGTGGCTTGATAACACTGGACTCAAGCTTTTGCTGTGATGGGATGCCCCAAAAAGATCAAAACTGACAATAGTCCTGCATATTGAGTGGCTTCTACTGCTAATTTTTTACAACATTGGGGTATTTAACTTCTTCATGGAGTCCCATAAAACTCATCTGGCCAAGCGATCATTGAATGCACTCATTGCACTCTTAAAGATCACCTTACTACTTTGAAAAAACAAGGGGAAATAGGGGGTTCCCCCCATAAAATATTGGCACAACCATTATTTGTTATAAACTTGTTGAATATACATGGAGGACAAGACCATCCTCCTTCAATAATACACAAGCAAACAAACAAACATGTGGAGGAAGCCCAGTCCTATGACAGGCCTCCTCTCTGGAGATATGTCTGCTAAGACAAAACTGCTTAGTCACGATGACTAAACTGTGGAGCCTGTCCTGCTTCAGGACCCCATGTTATCACCCTGTTAACTATTGGTCATCTTATGCCTGTCTCAGACCATTGGTCCGCTTCCCAATTCTTCCTTTCCCTATAAAAACTCCAGCTGGGTTAAACCATGGTTACAGAAGAATAATGACATCAGCTCTGTGTCCCGAAACATGGAAGAGACATCAACATTGAATGAACTTGGCATTGACACCATTGCTGATTGTGCTGCACCCTGACAATAAGGATGCAGTTTGTTTTTTGCCAGATCTTACTGTATTTTACGCAGCTCTTCGCATGCAATCGGTTGACAAGAGACAATCAGAGGCTCTTGAATGTGTTTGTGGAGAACACGGGCTGGACTGTTGACCCTGGGTATTGGTGTACTGTTCTTGTGTAAACAAGGTGTAAACAAGGGAGTTGGAGAGTCACTTGGGCACGTGAAATAGAGAAGGTGTATAAGTGTCAGCCATGTATCACATGGGTTATTACCTACCCTAGAGCACAGTGGTTGACTGACTTTGTTGGTATACCTTTAGATCAGCTGCCTGGAGCAAATGCTTCAAGGGGTGCAGTCAGAGTACTGCATGAACAACAATAGTTTCTAAACACATTAGAACTGATTGAAGATTTTGTACAGAAAGTATTAGCAGATATTAGCTTTGAGCTTCTTAAACACTTAGCATTATTAAGTATTAGGCAAGGCAATAAGATAGTGAACAGAAAGTGTGGACTGGGTGTTGGCAAGTTTGTAGTAGTGGATGGGACAAGGCAGAAAGACGCAGGCAATGTGCACGCCCATGGTGATATGAATGTTTATTTTCTGGGGATTATCATTGTATGGTGAGAGGGTGTTTCTTGAAAAACCACAAACAAATGTTTGGGTAACCTGACACTAATGCGTCTGGTATTTAGGATTTTTGTCTCAGTTTACAGCATGTCGATGACCCTTTTCAAACTCCCTTAATTGGCATTCCCCTTCAGGAAAACGAAACAGACTTTTCCGGTTGGTGGAACCCTAAGATAGTAAATTTAACAAAAGGCAAAAGTGATGACTTCCTAAGTCCAAAGGGACAGTATACTTGGCCTTCTATGCGTAATGCAGCCTGGCAGAAAACAGTAATTGAAAATTTGAACCAATCATTTCCTATTCCATTTCAAGAATTAGATTTGTTAGCCAGTGTTTTCCCAACCTTGGATGTTAATGTTACTGTTTTGCATGGTTGTGACAGTATGACCCCACCATGGCAACCAGTTAATGGTACAGGAGTAGTTTGCTTTAGAGATCCCTGGTTTAGTTGCTTACAAAAGCAAGGAGAAAAAATATTATTTGAACATTATCAAAATGTTGCAGGACAATCTCCATGGAACAGATTAAAAACAGGGGATCTGACAGTAAAAACTTCTGGAAGGTGGGAACTCCCACTGAGAATATTTTTGATTTGTGGGAACTGAGCATTGCCTGGCATTGCCTGGCATTCCAAGTATGGACTGAGCCAAGACAGCAAATGGACTTTTGGAAATGAAATGCTCACACCAAAGCGTACAACTTGTACTGAACATACTGTGACTATTGGTATTTCTGTCTAGTTCTATTACCATTTTGACACTTCTTTCTATACTTCTGCTACACCATGTAATAATTTTAACACTAATATCAAAAAAGGTGAAAGCAAGTGAAACATCACATGACAGCTCTTTCCTCAAGACTTAAAGCTCAGGTAGCGTAAAGACTGGCAAGAGTGGCTGAGTTTTAACACGACTACTGTGTGTATACAATGGCAATGGAAGCTAATAAGGAATATAAAGGATTGTGCGGTTTTTAAGCTTGCCACAAAAACCCCAAATGGAAAGCAGAGAGAGATTACCAAGATCCTCAGCGTTCCTTCCTGTTTCAGCTGACTTTTCCTTATGGCAGCTCTTTTTATTATCGTAATTCTTCAACATTTCTTCAGGAAGAGGGCATTGAGTTTATGTGTGCAGTGCTTCCAAAATGCCTTTGAAAAGAGTCAAAGAGCAATTTAAAAGTGCAGAGTTCTTTCCAACCCAACCTTGCTGTGTTAATGAGGAGCATTCAGTTTTGACTGCAGGTTATTTGAGCCTTAGTGCCGCTAACACCATAGAATGGAATTGGCTTTCCTTCTGACAAGAGTGCAGAAACTCATTCAAACTTTGGGCCTCTGGTAGTGGATGTAAAGTGGGGATAAAAACATGACATGAGAAGAACTTCAGCTTTCTTCTTTATTTCTTGTTAGAACCTCAACACTGATCTCTCTCTTTCTCCATCTGTCTCTCTCAAGCTGTTGTCTTTTGTGAAGCTCCATCTGTTGCTGCATGACTTAAATGGCTGTGCAGATGCCACCTCATGCCTTCAAATAAGAAAAGCTGAGGTGGGGCTAACACTGTGGTAACGCAGAACCTGAAGAACAAAAGAATAAAGTGGCCATACTCTCCTTCTAAACCCTGGGACTGGCTACTGTGGAGAAGGTCACATGTGCCCTATGATAAAATGTTGTAGCTTTTTCTGAGTAATTTGCTGTGAGAAGGAAGCTCTAAAATTACTTTTTCAAGCCCATACAGTGGGTATTTCTTGGATATCTAAAGATCTTATAATCAAGATTCTGCTGTAATAAATTGAATTGATTTGTGCTAACCAAATTGTAACTAATTGGAAAGTTATTAGTTATTAATTATTATTATTATTTAAAGTTGAAGTTATTATTATTATTAGAAATTATCAAGATTATTGTAACAACGCAGATTTACCCCTTTACAGATGTTACATGTCAAAATTAAGGTACAGAATGTAGTTTGAAAAATAAGTGGTGTCTCAAGACAAAAACCGCCTTGAGATGGACAAAATCAGAACCACTTTAGGCATAGGGCCTGAAATTCAGTAAATATCAGACTAATTAATAGACTTACATATACAACACTTAGTACACATGCGCAAACCTGTAAGGCATCCAAAGGACAACAAGGAAGAGAAGGCTTCGCCAAAAGACCACCAAAAGAAGACTGAAAACCCTCTAACAACAAGTGAGGCATGCACCATGAAGAAAAATGACGTAAAATCAGAAAAATCGGAAATAGGAAACTTATGGGAAACATTAATGAACATGTGTAAGCATATAGTATACAAGTTTAGCTTGAAGTGCTTTGTTTTGTATTTAAGGTAAGGTAACAAACCCTCCCCGTACACTGGTTGGTTTTGCTTATGCCTTAAACACACTCAATTACTGGTCAACTATATTCATATATATATATCTGAATATATTTACTAAATATTTACTAATACAATTTACTAAATTGTACTCTTTTACTAAATCGTATTGCTTTCTATATCACATTGTTATTTACTATTTTTGTATCCAATTAATTAAAGTGTACTATCAATTAACTAGACCTAGTTGTCTGAAATTTGAAAGTCATTTATAACACTGCTTTTCTGCAGGAGAAAGAAAAGATACTTTCATTGCCCCTACATGTTCTGCGACAGCCAACCAACCAGACTACTTGAGGTGAGTAAAAGTGCAATTAACTCCCGCCACTCTCAGAGGGTTCAGTGTCAAGCTGTTTCCTGTGTGGAAAAGGTAAGTCTGAGAAGGTTTTTCTGGGCCTCCAAGGCTCAGAGATGATCACCGAGGTGGGTTAGGCCTGGAAAGGCCCTTCCTTCCTGCAGGGCAGTTGCACAGGGTCAGCTGCAGCCGTGGTGCTGCATCCCCTCATGGTATTTGCAGTGCAGGAGGGGAGAGGGAAGTGTGTGTGCGTGTGTGGTATAAAGCACTGGAAATAACTGTTCTCAGCTTCTCTCAGAGCTGTGATGTTGGCAAGGGCAGTCAGGCCTCCTGCAGCCCTTGGGCTCTGGGGTGGCTGCGGCCTTCGGAGCAGGCACGACAGGGCCCTGGCTCATATTGGATACAGCCAGCGATGCTCCGTGGGAAGGCTGAGGGCAAATCAGGCCCTGCAGGGGAGCAGCTGAGGGAGGCCTGTGATGGGGCTCTTGCTAGGGG